TGAGATGTTTGGGAGGTTAACTCTCAATGTTCCTCACTTTATGGGCTATGACGAGGGCGAAACGGCCAAACGTTAGCCGAATAAATGCATAATTCTGGAGTTGGCTGAATCACTCAAGCAACTTAATAGACAGATACATTCAGAAACTGGGTTCATTATAGGGGCCAATTCCGAGTACTGCGGTTTCTTTGGATCCTCGCGAACCGCCCCGCTTGGGCCATCCGCCGACCGAAGGAGTCTCGGGGCTTTTCGTGTACGGTATTTCCCACTCGTGAGCTTGAGAAAATGCCTCAAAATGTTCGCGAACTTTTCGAGTGGCCTAAGGGAAGCAGTTCGCGGGGCCCAGTAACCTATCACGGCACTCAGAATGGCACCCTCGTATAACACTGCTAACGTGTCTTCGCTCTCTCTCTCTTAATAAGTCATACCTCTTCCCCTATATTCAAATTCGCTAAAGGTTACCTCTTCCTGCCAAATACTGAACCGACTGTCCTTTATTAACCTTTCTGGCTTCCTACTCTAAGTTTGCAATATATAGAAACTGTTATATGTATTTGGAGAATCACTTAGCCCTTTACAGTGAAAACAGTTTCCTTACAAGTTTACTGAAATATCAGTAATGCCATTTCAGCCTACCTCGGCTGCATCTATGCTCTAAGCAACAAACACTCACATTCCCTGCACATGTCCCCCACGTCTCCACTTAGATCACCGCTTCAAGCCGAGTTTAAACTAAGTACAATGCTAAAAATTGCGTTGCAATTTCTTCGTTACGAGTACTCAATATTCTAGCAATTAAGGAAGCAAATCTCATCAAACTTTCTCACTCTTAATCTATATTGCAGCAAAAGGGCCATAACGGATAAGGAGCTGGCAAAAGTTCTTCACCCAAGGTATTTTCGCTTTCATACATGTACTGCAGTGCGCTACATTTTTAACAAAGTCGAATATTTAGACAAGATTTTTCCAAAGTTAAGAAAGATATGGAGAAATACTTTGCCGTACGAGATACTCCTTTCTGGAGAGATGTGCCACTACATCACATGCTTGAAGTAAACACAGATCTTGACGGCGCTACTGCAGCGTGGATGGCCGAATCGGTTTTCACCAGAACCACTTTTATAGGGTTAGGTTCAACTGTGCCATGCGTAATTGAACGAGCATTTGCAGAGAAGATGTTGGAAATAATCACCAAGACTTTCATGGTACTATTTTAAAACAGATTTACGAACCTTTCGGATATCCTGTTGAGGTAGGCTGACTTCTTTGAATGTTAGTTCTAAACGCTTAATTTGGAATAGGAGTAATTCAATGTACTTAGGTTCCGTGCTATTCCAATGTAGCGGGTCAACGAGGTCTATCCAATGTTTTTTACAAATTTCGTAAAAGGCTTGCACTCATCATCTCAGCGAGCACATCATGAACTAAAGGTTTTAGGCGATTTACTGCAAACCCCAATCAATGGATTTTGGAAAATCTAGATCCCTTTCTTGCTGAAGCACTTGATGATATGATAGGACTGGAGAGTATGTTGCTAGCATCATACAAGTGATTGGTTTTCGTCTCAAAAAAGTGGCAAAAATTGACACAATCTCTCCTTAAAGCATTTTTTTT